CAGTCAAAGCACAAACTGTTCTTAAAATAACAACTACTTGGTTGCACATTAAGCTAATTTACAAATGCTACTTACATTCCAAAAACAAAACAGCAAATGAGAAACAATAAAGCGTATTATGTTTTCGTATGCTAGTGAATCACACATGGTAAATCACCAAAGAGAAGAGTTATTTATGCTCAAACCAGCCAAGACTTTAATCAATATTGGGTGTCACATCTCAGGAGGCTGGGGAAGGTAGTGAGGCAAAAAGAAAGTGGCTAATATTGGTCTCAATAATTTATACGCAATTTCCATGATATGTGGTAGATTAAGCAAAAAAAAAAAAAAGAAAAGCAGCAGATTTTAGACTAATGAAGTTTAAAAACTCTGTCTTACATGTAAATGCAAAAATTTTACACACGAAAACTCTGAAAATCAGCCTATTTTGCAGTTTATCTTACATAGTACTTGAAGCTTCACAAAATAAAATACTATATACAAATCAAATTAAGTGTCTCCCGGTATTAACTGTGGAACTCAGAAAGTAAACAAGCATGATCTTCATAACTATATGCACTTTGTTACAATAATGAATATAATATTATTGGAGACAAACTCCAAGAGAAAAAAAAGCATGTTTGAAAGATATTATCTAAATAACTCAAGAATTTGTATTTTGCAACATAATTTGATTAAATAAGGTAAACCCAAGGTTAGAATACTCTTATATTTTATTTATGTATTAGCCATTAAACTGGAATTCACTAATATTTAAAAAGCGTTCAGAAATAAGTGATAAGACCAAGCAAACTTTCACATTTTAGGTCTTATTCTTCTAATTATGCCATATTCTTTTTGAAATGTTATAAAACGAAACATTAGCCTTTATAAGAGCCATTAATCGACTATAATACAAAAAACTTCAAAAGCATAGTCTCCTTTCATTTGAAGTAATTTTTTTAATTTCTCTGTGCCAAGTATCATAACTATCTATGAGAAGTGAGTCTGTATTGTGTTGAAACTTTCTACAGAGGCATAAAGGCATATCTCCGTGCCACTGAACAGCATGCAATGAAGGAAATGTTAAATAAATATTGCCATTTTTTGTTAAAAAAACTTCTGACAAAAAGAAGCAAGCCAAGAATTAGAAAATAGTTTATACTTCTGACACTAAACTCGCATTCATATATTACTACTGAACAAAAAAAGACATAAATTCTCTCAATTTGCTTTCCATAGATGGTACTGACTTTTAAGACAAAAGAATACTGTCTGTGAATAAATGTCTGATAAAACTAACTGGAATCTTTTCAAGTTAAAAACTCCACAAATCTAGGTCTATGTAGGACCCAAATCACAAGCTGGTTTGGAAGATCCTGAGACAAAATCATCTTCTGGCAATATTCAAAGAAAAATTCATTTTCGATAACAAAATAGAACCAAGTCACTTTTCATTACCTGAATTCACAGAAAATTGAATCCTAACCCAAATCTCCAAACAAGCAACTGACTCAGATAAACAGAGACTTGACCATCTCTATAATTACTTTTCTTTTGTTGTTGTTGTTTAATGGTTACCAGTTAATTAAGTGACCTCTGTTGCAACAGCCATGTTCATGCAACTAATGTTTAGTTTAAAAATAATAATTGGAGGAAGCTGATCAAGGTCAGACTTTGTCCTTTGACAACTTTTAAATATATTTCCTTATATTTTCTTTCATGTTTTGAAACCCCTATTTTATTTAGCTTTACTATCAAGGTGACAGTCTGTTTCATTTCCTTGTGGTAATGACAGATGGCTTCAACATTTATTCTAGTGTTCATAGATAGCACACTAATGCAATAGCCCCAAGCAAATTAAATGCACTCCGAGTTTTTTTTTTTTACTAACTTACTGAGCCACTTTGAGCAAGTTTACGAACCTTTCTTTAACATAACTTTGGTTCCTCAGATTTCCCGGTATCTAGATGCTATTAAAAGACATAGTTAGATATATATTCTATAAAAAGTTGAGAGTGCTAAGATTTGATGTTTCTTGCACACTATGTGTGTATTATTTCATATAGTTTGCCTTCTTGCACTGTTCTTCTTCTGCATAAATTATTCCTTTATATAGTCTCTTAAGTAGCCAGAGGAGAAAGAAACAAGAATGAAAGAAATTAATATATATAGATGAATGAAAAAGGATCTTAATAGTAAGGGAATAGACTGGAATGAATGAAAAAGGATCTTAATAGTAAGGGAACAAACTGGACTTGAATCAACAGGATAATTTTAGTTTGGGAAATTCAAGATGAAAAATATTTTAGCTATTGCTCCCAAAGTAAAGAAACAAGGAATTAACACTTGTAACTATCACTAAAAAGTAAGGCATCACAATGCAAACAGTGTATTTTGGTGAGAGTTCAGTGATAAGTTTTCTATCTTCTTAGTCAATGGCAGAATTAGGGAAACCTAGGTATATATCTGCAACTACACACCTTTTTCAGTATCTACATATTATTTAGGCTTGAGAAAGTCCTGTAGTTGATAAAAAGATCAAAATGTAACAGTAAACCAACAAACTTACCACATTTAACCTCAAATGGAGTTCTGGAATAACACATTTCATTGTAAGGTATTAAAACTTTAGAGTACTGATAAGATATTTTTGAAGGGATAAACAGTTTTACTGGATTTAACTTTTCTTGGTTCTAAAAGTTTTAACTCCAGAGCCTTTGTTAACCTCAGGGAAAAACTTAATATTTTAAAATTCATTCCTAGTAACTTTAAGAATATTCTCCAACCATATGGTGAGGACTTCAATTCCAAAACCTAAGCAGAAATTTTAGAAAAAACAAAAGCATCAAGGAAATAATTGTTAGAAGTGTAACACTACCTGTTTTAAATTGGTTATAACTTCGTAATCTTTGAAGCAGTTTTCTCCAGTGATTTTGTGTGTGTTATCTGAAATAGCCATTAATTATCTAGTACAGTGTGTGCTGTGAAAAACACACAAAGAAGACTCAAGAGCAGAGTCGTTTGGTTACTAAAAAGAAAAAGAGTGCTTCACCAATTTACTGGATAGGTATTTTATCACAATCTTATTTTATCACAGTCTTATCTGAACTGGCTTCAGATTCCAAGCAGCAATTTTTAAAACAACTCCGTAACAATTTTCTGCCCTGATTTAAACAGCTTTAGCAGTAGATTTTTGGCAAATATTTTATATTCTGTACACCCAAGGTCTCTAATTATCTCTGTAAATGATGTTTAGTGATCAAGATTCACCCTCAATCTTTACTGCCACCTGTCCATATTCTTGGGCACGCGCGCATACAAACGCGCGTGTTCAGCATTCACCGAGAAAGAGTAGAAACGAAGGTTCAAAACCCAGATAAACACCCATGCCTCCCATACAAAGAAAGAAGTAAACACGGAAAAGAGTTTCTGGATGGGTCAGGGTAGGGCATTTACTGAATTGCAGTTGGAGCCTTTCTCGTCTTACAGTGTTCCCAGGGCACTAGCCAGAAGTCTTCCTCCAAGGAAGAAATAGCTAGGGGCTTTTCTACCCCGATTTCCTTCTGGTCTAGTCCTGCGCCTCTCTCCTTCCCGCTTCAGTTTCCTTAGCTGTACTAGGGGCACACATAAAAAGAGTTTTAGTAAAACTCCGTTCCTCCTCCCAATCTTTAAACTTATTTGGAGGGTACCGAAGTTTCCGCACAAATTTTGCGCGCAGTTCCCACGCGCTCACTTCGAGACTCCAGCTTTCCCTGCTTGCTTTTACTCGGCTTCTCTGAACTTCTCCCTCAGCAGCCAACGGTGGGGACAAGACCGTACAGTGAGAGTGGGTGGAAAAGATCACTTCTACCCCGAAACTGACAAGTTACCCCACTCCCGCCCCCTCTCGGTAGATCCTCCCCCAAGTGAGCATTCATTAGCATAAAACTGGTCCGGCCGGGCTCAGGGTCCCGTGGCCTCCAGGGTTCGCGCGCTTTGCGGGACGGGGGGAGCAACAGCACCGGTATTCAGGTCCACAGAGCATCCCAGTGCAAAACCTGCACCTGCTCATTGCGTGAGCTACTAACCTTAAAAAAAAAAGAAAGAAAGGAAAGAACAGTTTGGAGAGAGAGAGAGAGCGCGAGGCAGCAAACTGCTGTCTTCCCTCCCCATGTCTCCAGTTCAACCTCCAGGAGTCCCAGGCACCCGGTCACCTCCCCCAACGGCAGGAACATTGCCGGTCCCCTCGCGCCTGCCCCAGGCAAACGTACCCCTTTATCTTCTTTGCACACACACGCTCGCGCGCGCGCGCGCGGACACACGCACAGATGCGTGCATACACAGACCCCTCCCCTCCCCTCCGCAGGCTTGCCCTCTGGGCTTCAGGGCTGAACTCAATGTGGGTCCCCCGAGATTACTCTGGCCTCTCGGCCTCTGGGACCGTCCCGCTCCCGACCTCCAAGTGACCCACTTCCTAGGCTACCTCGCGGGGCGCTCACCCCTAGCGCGTCTTTCCGCTCCACGAACCCCGCGGGGCAGGGTTACGACCTCCCTCCGCCCCCAGGATCTAGCCCCTCGTCTCCGAGCAGCCGGGCCGCTGCCCGGCGCCTCGCGGTGGAACCCGGGTCCGAGGGAGCGCGCACACACAGCAGCGCTGAAAGGGGTCCCCAGACGTCCGCGCAGCCTAGGAAGGGCGCTGTGGCCCCTGGAATGGCACCATCCGCCTCCTACCCGCCCCGTCCGCCCCGAGACTTGGGGTTCCCGCCAGCCACATCTGTCGAGCCCCAACGTCCGGGCGAGCAAGGGGCGGACCCGGCCGGAATAGCGCGATCCGGTCAGGGTGAGGTGCCAACTTCTCAGAGAGGTCGGGAGCGGCCGGCGAGCCCGGAGGAAAGGGAGCAGAGGGCCGCGCTCGCCCGGGGCGCGCGGAGAGAACGGCGCCTGGCAGAGAGCGAGGGAAGGGCGAGGGGGCCGGTTGGGAAGGGCCCACAGGCGGCGGAGACTCCCTCCCCACCCCCACCGTCCCCCTGGCTCTTTACCTGGCGTTGGTGCAGTCATTGTAGAGGGTCTCGAAGTCTTTTCTGGAGATGAGTTTGCAGCGGTTCACTCCGGGCTGGATGGCGCCCAGTCCCCTCAGGATGCGAACCTGCTCCACATTGCACACCACCGGCGTGATCTCCAGCCGCTTCAGCTTGGTGTAGACCGTGTGCAAGCCCCCCACCAAGTGCTTCAGGAACAGGTCGAAAGCCTGGGGCAGGCAGATCAGCTCGCAGCCCTCCACCGTGAAGGAAGCCACTTTGGCCCCCCTCAGATCCACCATTTTGCACTCATTATTCTGGGGGGTGTTCTCCACTGGGGACGGGGTCGAGTACACGGGTTTGCCGGGGAGGGGGCCGCAGCTGCTACTGCTGCTGCTGCTGCTGCTGCTGCTGCTGCTGCTGCTGCTGCTGCCGCCGCCGCCGCCGCCGCCGGTGCTCGCGTTGATGGGGGTGCTGGAGGCGCCAACGCCGCCGCCGGCGCTGATGCTGCCGCCGCCGCCGCCGCCCGCGGTCGCCAGGCTGGGGTTGCAGCCGCCGCCGCCGCCTCCGTTGCCCGCGCTGCCGCCGCCGCCGCCGCCGCCTCCGCTGCCCGCGCCGCCGCCGCCGCCGCCGCCGCCGGTGGAGGTGACTGTGCCCGCCGCCGCCGCCGCCGCCGCCGCCACCGCCGAAGCGATGGGCTCCGGCCGGAACAGAGTTGGCCCCGAGGACGCCGGGGGCCCGATGGACGGAGCCGGAGACGAGGTCGCAGAGGAGGTGGAGGTGGTGGTACCGGAGGAGGAAGCAGACGTAGAGATCGGGGCTTGAGGGGGGACCAGCTGGGTCGGAGGGATCAAAGCCGCCGGCACTGCCATGGCCACATATAAGGGGGAAACAGAAGGAGGAGAAGCCAGGGGAAAAGTTGCCACACACACACCCCCGGGGAGGGCGAGGGAGGGAGAAAAGGGGGGAGGGAGAAGGAGCTAGGGGGCCACGAGCGCCACAACTCCGGGAGAGAAGAGAAGAGAAAGGGGCAGAAGGGGGGAAAGGAGGTGAGGGTGAGAGCGAGCGAGCGCAAGAGGGGCGAGCGCGAGAGGCGCTCTGGAGAGAAACGCACAAAAGTGTCCCGCAAGTCGAAATGTGAGTCCTCTCCGGGGGCTGGGATCGGGGGTTGGGGGGGGGGGGGCGGGTAGGGGCGGGCAGGGTCGGCTGTGGTTGTGTGGGTCCCGCTCTCTAGCACCAAGTTAAGGATGAAGGTGAAAAGGAGGAGGTTTGAAGGACTTGGGTTCTCCCTGGCAAGTACATTGATCAAAGATTGAGAGGGGAATGACAGAGAGAAAATGAGCTGAAAAGTGCAGGCTGCCGGCTGGACGACTTGTTATTGTCACACGGTGCAGAGGGGAGGAGCTCCGGAAACTTGAAATACCCTTTGAAGCCGCAAAAACCTCACTCACTAGTATTAACCCAAATTATCCAACCAGGAACTCGGAGCAGAGACTCCGAGAGCGCGAGACCCAGGGAAAGCGAGAGAGCCGGGGGGAGGGGGGGGGGGAGGGCGGGGAGGGGGGAGCACTAGGAAAGAAACTATAGGAGGCACCGCGAGGAAAAGCCGAGACCCAGAAGTGGCGATCGGAAAGAGAGAGCATCTACTTTTCTACTACCGTTAGATTGCATGTCTTAATATTCCATTTCGTCCGCGAAGACTCGTAATTTTTTCCAAAACCTTCTAAGCAGTCGCCTGCCAACTTAAAGAGGAGCCAGAGCGCTCCGAGCTCTCCTTCAAGGGATTTAGGATGTATCTTGGCTTGTTTGTTTTTTGTTTTTGTTTTTGTTTTTGTTTTGGCAAGAGATATAAATGAAAACACATCCCTTGACTTCATGATTATTAAGAAATTATTTTGAGGAAAATCCATATGAAGCAAAGCGTATGTTTTCTGTATCTGATTATTTTATCTGTCGACTCAACTATTTATTTGTTTAAAGATAGCGAAAATTCCAGGAGAGTTTTCAAGTTGTGGGGGAAAAGTCAGTCTGAAATAGCTTAAGAATCATGGAATGCTCTGTATTCAATTCTTTTATTTCCTAATAGATTTTGGAAAGAAACAAATGCTTGCTACAGAAATGTGGATGGTTCAGGATAACTTCACTTTGGCCCCAAAGGTCAGAAATGCCAATCATATGAGGAGAATTGAAGAGATCAGGCACCCCTGAAGATTTAGAAAGTGGGGGGGCGGGGAGAATGCACTGCTTTTTCTTACCTAAAACTCTATAAGTAATTAACCGGTCTTGCATAGACGCCAACCATCTTCTCCTCCTTTAAAACCTAAGGCTAGCTGCTAATGTGTTATTTGAATAAATAAATATTCATATATATGTACACATATACTATATTATACTATATATATATATACTATATATATTTGAAGACTATCGTTGTATTTTGGGAGAGTCCTTCTCAATTTGCAGAAATATGTTTTGTAAATAATGAACAAAAACAAAGCTCACTAGTTGACTTGTAAAGGCAGAAAGGGTAGCTATGCTTAAAAACATTGGGCTGAGTTTAGGGTCACCCTCTTCCTCTTTGCCTTCCTCTTTGCTTTTCTTCCCTTTTCTAACTTGTTGCATGGAAGTACTATTTATTTAAAAATTTTGACCAGTCTATGATTTGAGCACAAGTCAAGTCTGTTCTGTTTATATCACTAGGAATCTTAAATAATTAGGCTTTAAACCTGTCTGCACATGTTCATTAACTTCACAAGATAGAAACAATGCTTTAGCATTTGACAGATTTCAAAAATAAACTATTAGCATAGGATTCACAGTTTAGTATTGAAATTATTATCACATTTCTTTTTATCTTTTTAATTCTTTAACCTTTTTGAAGTCTACTGTCAAAAGGTGTAGGAAATATTTACAGAGAAATAGGGCACTATGCACTAATTTGTCTAAGTTTATACTAAACTTTTGGGGATAAAGCAGTTATATCAGGAGGCTTTCCTGGGTCATAAGAATTCAGAAAATTGACTGTTGCTAAAAAGTAGATTAACTTCTATAAGACAGCTAAAGTGTATACAGTTGTTTTGCCTAGTTAGCCAATGTAGTTTGATATATTCAGAAATAATTTGTATCAATTTTCACTCTTCCTATCTGACTTCATTTAAAAGTAGGGACTGGACATACATCACATAAATCAGAACACTTCTTTAAGTGTTTATGCCTGTTTTGGACAACAATACCTTTTTAAAAAAAATTCCAAGTGACTGTTAATGAGTAGAGGTGAGGAAGAAGGTATTAAGTCCTCAGAAACTAACTTTATTTTGGAATTGCATGCACAACTTAAATAAACTTGCTTTAGTTTTTGAAATGCTAGTTCCTTCATTTTAAATTCTAGTCCTGCAAATGGAAAAAATTGAAATTAACTGCCCCAAATCTGCTGTAAGTATTCTCATTTCTTACATTTTGTTAAACTGTCACTCACTCAATACCTGCCACTCTCAGAAGCCACGGACAGGGAGTTGTGATAGCTGACCATGCCATAATCCCACCCAACATCAAAGCAAAGTCCAAATTTTCTGCAGGAAAACCTGTGTCTCCCAGCACGTGCTCCATTCAGAAGCAAGGCTTGGGTAGCTGGCCTGGATCTGAGCGGGAGCCTCCTCCCCCTCACCCCCATTTCAAGTCTCTGAACTGTTTTTGTTTTTGGTTTTGGTTTTTAGGAACTACCACTTACCCCTTTGATCAAACAATAGGATTAGAAAAGGCACATCATGCAAATTAAAATATTCAGGAAAGAAAACCCTTGAAAAATTCAAATTTTTTCCTTTCCTGGTTTTTTTTTTTTTTTTGAGAAATATTACCAATGATTAAGGCAAAGGGTATTTCATAACAGCAGATAAATCAACTGCCCAGATTTCAAATTCCCACTCTTCTTATCACATCTTTAGGTTTTCAAAGCTTTTGTCTTGTTTGTTTATTGTTTTCCATGTCTGGTTGGTTCAGGTCCTCTCCTTCCATCTCCTCCTCTCCAACCTTCACTCGATTTGCATAAGCAAAACTCAAAGTACTGTAACTGATATTAGAAAATTCTCCCTGTGTGTTGTGAAGACGTATTGTGCTGAAATCAATAAGACTGTTTAAAATTCAAAGACCTGCAAATCGTTCTGTTTGTCCTTTGATAGGGCCTGTGCTGATTAAAATGCTACCAAGAAAGCTTAATTGCTGCACTAATTAAGAAGTCTTTAATTTCTTTCCTAGGATATCGTTTGAAGCTGAGCTTGTACCAGTTCAGGGAAGGTATTTTCTTCCCTCCCTCTGGCCCCTCCCTTCCCCTTCCCCCTCCTTCCGTGGCCCCAACGATATCCCTGTGAATGGAAACTAATAGAGAGAGTGGTCTCAGGGCTCACCATCTATTACTTAACAAAAATCGGCACGGAAGACAGAGTCCACTGCAGTAGGAAATGCAGTTTTGAGAAGAGCTGTAAGGTTGCAGGAGACAGTGAGGAAATACAGAGTAGCTGCAGCAAAAGTCCCGGTGAATACCTGGGTGACAGCAGGCACTTTAGCCTGAAGATGAGGGCATCCTATTTGGTTAAAAGGGACAGTGACAAGGAAATGCTTCTGTTGAAACAGGGAAACATAAAGATGTACTTTCAAACCTGTGGTTTAAAAACGAAGAATAAATCTGTATAAAGGTGAACTTAGAGTTGGGATTTGGTGAGTATCATTTTATTTTCTAAGTATAAAAACAGGATTTCTATGGGGATTCATTTTTGACCCTTTTTATAACCCAGGGAGGCAGAGCACCATATTAAATCCATTCCATCTTTATCTATTGACCTATTTTATTCACTGATTTCTCAAGTGGGGAAACTGACTAAATGATTTCACAAAGCTTTCTCTGTAATCAATAGTCATTTTTAAGGTTTATTCATGCTGCATTATAATTCTGGTAAATGACTGCAAAGTAGAAGATTGTAAGATAGATACAAATATTGACAAAGCCAGGATAAGTCATGTCTTTAAATCTTTAGGGCTTCAATATAGCAATTGATACAGTTAAGACTGAAAATGGGGATTTCATAGAACATAAAAATACTAAAATGATCGAGTAACTCTTAAAGGCAATACATATCTGAATGTTTCTTGAACATCTCAAAATTCCCTGAAAGCTTTAAGTATTCTCTTTTTACACATCACTAAATGAAACAGAAATAATTTAGGAATATGCAGGAAGGGGAACAAGAAAAGGCTGCCCGCAATTTTATTCTTTTTTTCCCCCAAGTTAAATTAGAAGCATGCACAGAAAAATACAGATGTATATTTCAGATAGATACTGAATTCCTTTCAGTGACAGGACAAGGAGATAACATGCTTAATAGATTCAAAGGGAGACTTACCATTCCAAGCACGACGTCACTCTAATTATGTTTACTCTAATTGAAAGCAAGGTTTTTTGGAATCTGAAATTACTTTCAGAATTTTTTTTTAAATAATGCAAGTGGATCAAATGTTGATCACAAGCATTTCAATCTTTCAAAATGTATTGGAAAATTAAATGAAAAGTGGAGTTTGGTACAAACAATGCCCCAGGGCAAAAAACAACTAACACTAGATTTTCCAGTCCAGCCATAACACAAATCAATTTGAGCACACTTCTATGGCCAGACTGCCAGATTGTTATGACTGCTAATTCACTCAATCAAAGAGTGCATTAGCACACCCGGCACAAATAGCTTTAACAATAGGGTGCACTTCTGAACAATTCTAAGATATAGCACAACGGAGAAGTAAAGAGGAAGATCATTTTTACATCTGCATATGTACTAATGGACCTGTTCCTCAATAGGAAAAAAAAAAAAATACAAACTTCAGGCAG